TTTATGTCCACTAGCTCTTTAAGCACTTGGTCTATCTTCAATGGATGTTCCAGGCTTTTTTGGTTAATTTTACTATTTTTGTACCCTTGTCTTCCCCCCTTTGTACTCTCCTCTGGTCCAAAGTTGAGGTTCCTTTTAGGTTGGTTTCCTCCAGCTCCTCTTTTGATTGGCATACATCATGTGGCACATTTCCTTCTTCGTTGTTCCCAGTTGCTTGTTGACTATAATTTTCCCGATGTTGATTGGATAATTTTGCCTCTTGATAGTGGGATCTCACTATTTCTAATATTGATTGAAGAGTAGATTTTGTTTCCTCCCAAAATTGTCCTTGTGCCATTCTGTTCCAGATGTCCAGAAGCTTAAGCCAAAGTTCAAGGTCCCCAAGTCTCACAGTCCAGTTCGATGTATAATGTAATTGTTGTATCCGCGGCCTGATGGCCTAATTTCCACGGGTTTATGCCAGCTAGTCAGTTTGGCTAAATAAGCCTGGACCAAAATTCAGAAGCACCAAGTCTTACAGTTCAATTCTGTGTTTGTAGCCATGTCCTGGTAGCCTAATTCCCACATTTCTGCATCAGCAAAAACTGAGATTCCAAGTCTCTGGAGATAGTTCCAAAAGGTTTGGGCCAAGGTACCGTTTAAAGAAAAATCCACTTTAGGGTTAATTTTATCCAGCCGGGCATAAAAAAAAATCAAAGAGAAATGAACAGGAATGTTCAAGGTCAGTGTTTCCAGGTGTTATGCCAAGAGAGTTCAGGTAGACAAAACATGAGTCAAAACTTGTCTAGTAATAACTTATGAGAAAGTTCCCAAATTATAATGTTCTTAAATGTTCTTAAAGTATTTTAAAAGTATTTGAATGAGTACAGTAGTTAATTCCAATTAATCTTCATAATATTTTTTCATATCAACTATCCTCTTTCCAGATTATCTGCCGCTAATAATTCATGAGAGTGATAGAAAGTTCTTTTTCCTATATATAGGAATTTTATTGTCCAGGGGTAATCACCCAAATTATAATGTTCTTAAATGTTCTTAAAGTATTTTAAAAGTATTTGAATGAGTACAGTAGTTAATTCCAATTAATCTTCATAATATTTTTTCATATCAACTATCCTCTTTCCAGATTATCTGCCGCTAATAATTCATGAGAGTGATAGAAAGTTCTTTTTCCTATATATAGGAATTTTATTGTCCAGGGGTAATCACATGCAATTAGTTATCTCACCCGTAGTAACGTTGATGTTGTATCGCTTAATTGTTGTTCTCATTAATCGGCTGCCGACGACTTGCAAGCAAAGGTTTGCTTGTTTCTGCCCGTTGGCTGATTAGGGAGTTTCCTGGATCGAACGGAGGTGACCGCCGTCCCCCCCCGTGATCAACAGGCTTCCCCCCCCCCAGTTCACCACCTCTCCGGGGGGGTTCCGACACCGTATGGGGTCCCAAGCAGGTCAGAATTTCAGCCCAGGGGACAGAGCTCTGTCCTCCTGCTGCTGTCTCGTTGCGGCATCAGCCGGAAGTCAAGATGATAGTTTTCTAATTGCCTCTCGTGAAGGGTCCTTCTGCATGAGTAAGTAGTTGTAGTATCCATGTTAGTCTGTGCAAGTATGGTAGGTGTTTTTCATGTTCCTTGCTGATGATCTCCGCCCCAGCATGGTGGTCAAAACATTCAGTATAAAAGTCCAACTCTTTGTTTCATCCTTCTGGACTCCATGTGGAGTTCTTCTTTTTTGTGGTGCTGGGCAGAAGGTGGATGTGGGTTGGTATATAATTGCACCTCATGTTATTTTCACCTCCTGTTGTGGAGAATGGGGTACCACACTGCATGAGGGACATACTGTGGTTCTATTTGTTTTTTCCCGTTAGGTTTCGTATCCAGCCAAAAAAGCGGAGTCAGTTTTCAACTCAAAAGTCCAACTCTTTCACGTACCCCTTTGTGGGGGGAAAGGGGAGAAAGGGACATTGCAATTTTAAGACTAATTATTTCATTCCAGGGTTAAACGTTTCCATTTCCTCAAACACTGGAGTAGAAATACACAACTAGTCTATTGATACGTGTCCCCACATCCAGATGAGAATGCAGACAAAAACAAAACGGCCATGTTTCATTAACAAGGGAATGAGGCTATTAAGTTGTAAGTTGCTTCACTCAGCAGGTGAAAAACCACTAGAAAGTTTCGTAGAGAAAAAATGCCAGTCTCTGCATATCTGAAGATCAAAAAATGTGAAGGAGGAAAATGACAGTTTTCTTTCTTTTTTTTGCATACTTCGTTTCCCTTTCTGGCTCCTTCTCTATTATGTAGAGACCTCTTTCCCCTTCCAGAGGATTTATTTTGTTTACATTTAGAATTCACTCTTTTCTATGCTTATTGTTCCTCCTACAGATCAGAAACCTTCTGCCAGAGGAGAACCGCTTGACGGCAATATTTGTGGGAAATATTTTGCTGAAAGGAGGGCACTTTCACTTCACAAGAGGGTCCACAGTGCAAACATATGTTTCAAAAAGGAAGCATCTGGAAAAGGCGAGGATAGCAAACCACAACTCAGGAGCCACCAGAAAATCACCATAGGAAGAAAAAAATACCAATGTCAGGAATGTGGGAGACGTTTTGCCAGGAATTTTTTCCTTCAGGTGCACCAGCGAGTCCACACGGGAGAGAAACCATACAAATGTCAAGAATGCGGAAAATATTTTACTTACACTTCAACTCTTCTTGCACACCAGAGTGTCCATATGGAAGAAAAACCATACAAATGCCAGGAATGTGGAAAATCTTTTAATCACAATTCAAACCTCCTGACACACCGGAGAGTCCACACAGGAGAGAAACCGTACAAATGCCACGAGTGTGGAAAATGTTTTGCTATCAATGCAAACCTTTTGACTCACCAGAGACTCCACACTGGAGAAAAACCATACAAATGCCAGGAATGTGGAAAATCTTTTAATCACAATTCAAACCTCCTGACACACCGGAGAGTCCAGCAATTCACACCTTCTTGCACACCAGAGAGTCCACACAGGAGACAAACCATACAAATGCCAGGAGTGTGGGAAATCTTTTAATCAGAATTCAAACCTCCTGACACACAAGAGAATCCACACAGGAGAGAAGCCGTACAAATGCCAGGAGTGTGGGAAATCTTTTAATCAGAATTCAAACCTCCTGACACACAAGAGAATCCACACAGGAGAGAAGCCGTACAAATGCCAGGAGTGTGGGAAATCTTTTAATCAGAATTCAAACCTCCTGACACACCAGAGAGTCCACACAAGAGAGAAACAGTACAAATGTTGGGAGTGTGGGAAATGTTTCACATACACTTCAACCCTACTTCTACATCAGTGTGTCCACACAGGAGAGAAACCTTATGATTGCCTGGAGCGTGGGATATCTTTTAATCGCAATTCAAACCTCCTGAGACACCGGAGAGTCCACACAGGAGAGAAAGCATACAAATGCCAGGAGTGTGGGAAATGTTTTACATACAATTCAAGCTTTCTTGCACACCTGAGTATCCACACAGGACCAAAAATATTCAAATGTGAAGAATGTGGGAAATGTTTTGCTCAGACTTCAAGTCCTCTCACACCCCAAGGAGTCTACACCGGAGAAAAACCACACAAATGCCAAGATTGTGAGAAAGGTTTAGTTGAGATTTCACACCTCATGACACATGAAAAACCCCAGTCGGACGAGAAACCATACCAATGCCAGACGTGTGGGAAATCTTTTAATCGCAGTTCTAACCTGCTGACACACCAGAGCGTCCACACAGGAGAGAAACCATACAAATGCCAGAAGTGTGGGAAATCTTTTAATCGCAATTCAAATCTCCTGACACACCAGAGAGTCCACACAAGAGAGAAACAGTACAAATGTTGGGAGTGTGGGAAATGTTTCACATACACTTCAACCCTACTTCTACATCAGTGTGTCCACACAGGAGAGAAACCTTATGATTGCCTGGAGCGTGGGATATGAGAGTTCACACCTTCTGGCACACCAAAGAGTCCACAGTGGAGAGAAACCATACAAATGCCATGAGTGTGGAAAATGTTTTGCTGTCATTGCAAACCTTCTGACTCACCAGAAACTCCACAGTGGAGAGAAGCCATACAAGTGTCAGGAATGTGGGAAATGTTTTATTCGGAGTTCACACCTTCTCAGGCACCAGCGAGTCCACATTGGAGAGTAATATAAATGCCAGGAGTTCGGGAAACATTTTGCTCAGAATTTTAACCTTCAGGGACACAAGAGACAGGTCATATAAATGCAAGACTCAGGGAGTTTTGGTTGTTTCTAAGTCAGATATTACGTGGAATGAGAAAATACACACAGGAAAGAAACCAAACAAATGCTAGGGATCTGGGTAATGTTTCACTTCCAATTTACATCACAGAGTGTAGGCAAGGGAAGCCTACACAGGAGAATTACTGCAGTTGTTGGTGAAGTCATTGACGAGTTTTGACTATTCAGTTTTATTTCATCTCTATCCCAATTCATGAGAAAATTAACTCCACTTTCCTTTTAGTGGCTAAGACTAACTTTTACAACATAGAGACCCTTCCAGCTGTAAAGTTTTAAGCCCGCCAGTTGTTGTTTTGCTAATTGAGTTTTAGAGAAATCAAGATGGTGGTGACTTTTTTCCACAGTCACTTCATGAGATAATGAAATTTCCCTAATTTCTTATTTTCCTCTTTCTGTACAGTGTAAATCATGGTAGAGGATGGTGGAGAGCTGGTCGTAACAAAGTGTGCCTCCTGACTTATCCTGGTTATTCTTAATGGCAAAGCTATTTCTGCTTTTGTTGTT